ACTCTAGAAAACCTGTCAAAAGTTGTTTTTTTTAGTTTTTTTTTATTAAAGGGAAACCAGAAAGTGAATTTTGTACATTTTATTGGGGTAATTTTACTTATAAACATGTTGTTCGCCCAATTCTGTTAAAATTGTATTAAGTTTCTCTCCTACAATTGTTAATTAGTAGAAAATTGCACATCTCAAAGGGCTGGTGCAGAATGAAGGGTTCGGATGTAAAAGACAGCAAAAAAGCTTCCATCAGTATGTTGCAAATGTGCTAATGGTTAAACAGCAATGTATTTCAATTTAAATATTATATGTACATGTACTATTTAACTAGAATGTGGACTTTATTCTAATTAAATTAAACAAAAAAAAAGAAAACTTCTTAATTAAGACATTTAATTTTTCTATTTTCTTTAAACTTTCATTACAGAACTTTCCATCTTTACACTCGAACCCTTCAAATGTTATTTATTATCTGATAAAGTTAAATTTTGAAAAATCCATAGAAATAAAGAAATTGTTTTCATTCTTCAAATGTCTAACATTGTTTTTAACTGTTAGCCATATTTTTATATTCTTTGTAAGCATTCCATCTTATGGTACTCGTCAATGTTGTAATATTTAAATTTTACTAAAAGTTGCCTTTTGTTATTGGGACGTGCACTAGATTTTTTTTTTTTTTTATGTAAGTGAATATCAAAATCATTATTTTCGATTTTGATGTTTAATATGTTGAATGTATTTATTATTGTATAGTATTATCTATAAAATTTTGTAAAATGTAAACAAGAAAGGAATAATTGGAATTGGAATGTAAATTTATAAGATTTTTATACTTGAAATTTATTAATTATCTCTTGCAATTTAAATAACATTACACTTTAATAATAAAAATATTAAAACTATTACAGTGGAATGTTGACTTAATGTGTTGGGTGCATATAATAGAAAAGTAAGCAATACACAAGTGCTAGTTATCGTTTTTTTGTGACAAATAGCACTTGTTCACAAGTTCTTAATCAGTTCTTTAAACTTTGCGCAATTATATTAAATCAGCTACTGAAAGCTTTCAAACACTTCGGTACTGTTATATTAAATATAAAATAAAATGTGGAAACTCTATTTGAGGATTTTGTGATGTCAGTATCTGCATACATAAAACTTTCAGTTGTAAAAAGTGAGCAATACCTAGACATTTTTCCGTGTAGAAACTTAAATGGCTTTAAATTTTATCCCAGGAAATTTACATATAATCTTATCTTTATATTTAATTTTTTTTCAGAAATAGATTTAATAATAAAACTTTTTGTAAAAGAATGATATTTGTACCTTATCACGATAATAGCATTATGAAGAATAGTAATGAAAAAGACCATCGAATACAAACAAAAATACTCTATCTTCTGAACCTGCTTCTCTTCTTGGTTGTCCTAGTACAATCGTTCGTCATCGTTTACTCACCTCAAAATTCTAATATTCAAATGGCTTCACCCGATATACAACAGCGCTATATCAAACCTGAAAATATCAATCATGACATTACTCGTCATCGAGTTAAAAAAAGAGAAATTTCTTCTAAAACTGAATGCGGAGAAAAAGACGAAGATGTCGTAATGTTGAACGGAAAATGCAGTATAACAGTAAGTCTATAGTAAATTCTACTCTAAATCATTACAATTCAATGTCACTCCAAAATAAAGTGAAATAAGAAATTACTGAAAATATAAGTAATTGCGACGTAAGAAAAGAGTTGTTATTTCTTTATTTACTTAAATTTCTGTCTAATATTATAGAAATCTGACCTTTGCGAGTATTGTCTTAGTGCGGAAGACATTTGTAAAAAGAATACAACAGAAACAGAAGGTACAGTACAATATATACATATATATTACTACATATTATATATAGAATTAATTAAACGTATAGAAATTTATAAATAAAATAATTAAGTACACTGGAATTAGAATGTTTATAGATTAAAAAATATTTTGAAAATTAAATCTTCTTGCTTTGTTTAAAGTAAATACAAATTATTAGAGAAGAAAAGTAGAAGAACAAAACATTTCTGTTTTTCTTATTTTTCTGTTCCCATTGTTTTCCTTGTTCATTTGGCGTATATTAACAAGGAAAGATAAAGAAATGAACTAAATGAACCAACCTTTCCTACTAAATTTTCGTGCAATTTTTAAATTAAATTTAGATTTCCAATTTACATGGGCGTACTTTGTAGTATTTTAATACATTTTGTTATAGTTTATGATTTTATATTCATCGATTAATTTTCTAAAATTCTGATATTAGGGAATAACAAATTTCTTATACATTATGATACCTTTTTTTTTCACAGAAAAAAATGATTCTGAAGAAAAGAAAAAAGAAGAAAGTAGAGGTATGAAATTTCATTATTATATGATACATCTATTTATTTTCTTTTCGGTTGTTTATTTGATAAGTTTATAATTTTGTATACATTTAATAAGATTTAGTAGAGTACATTAAGTGTATGGTTTGGTATTTAAGTATGGTATCAGAGGAGTGTCACGTTCTCATTGTTCAGGAATAAAAAAGTGATGAAGAAGAAATTTTACTTTACTTGTTGTTATATACGAGTCAATCGCGCATGTTTGTGTAGGTGAGTTAATGTATATTGGCGTGTATTTCGTTTATTATTTCAGAATAAAATAATCATTAAGAATCTAAATTTGGCATGGAAGCTTGAGTATAAAGAAAATTGACGTTGATAAATATTAGAGGTTAAAAGTCAAGGAATTGAGAGAAAGAAAAAAGGTCATATACTGTATCATATCTCGAGAGAGATCGAAATTGAAGATTTGACTCGTCATTAGAATTTACAAGATTTTGTTTATAAAACTTGTCACAATACTCAAAATTAAGCTTATTTACATTTCATAATTATTGATAATATAAAATTTTTAAGTATAAAATGGTACCACGAACTATTTTATTTATTATGATTAATAATATAAAAGTTATTTTTTAAATAAAAACCCGTAACAGCAAGGAAAGTTAGAAAACTCGTTGCTAGATTTTTTTTAAACCGACGTTGACATACATCGCATGATCTACGTCAACGTCGGTAGAATGATGCTCGACGTTCCAAACGCCATTGTCAAACTTCTAGTCTTACAGGATGGCGGCGCTGAACGTCGCACGTACTGTACAGTACGTTTTCGCGTTGAAAACGTCCGTTGCAACCACGCTATTCTAATTGATTAATTAGAGACAGCAGTTTATATAATCTACCATAATCAAATTAAATATCAATGTAAGTGGTTATACAGTAAGTAAATACATCGCAAGATTAAGTATTCTTTCTATTTTAAAGTTTTTCATAGTTTTCCTACTCTAGAAGGCTAAAATTATAGATGAATGTATGAAAATTATGGAACTTTTCAGCAATATTTTTATATGTGGAGACATTCATTCTATCAGTTTCGGTGATTAATTAAATATCAAGCGAGAAAAACGGAGAACACAGACACTTTTCATATTTTCAGTGGAGTCATTCTTAATGAATATTTTATTCGTTATCGGCCTTTACAATTTTTAAGAATCTTATTTCTAACCTCAAGGTTTTGGCTTTTTAAAATAATTAAAGTGGCATCATATTATGGTTAAAGCTGATTAAAGCCTTCCAAATCTGAATTTTTTTCTATAAACATAAATACTAATTTCATATTTATATTTTCAGATTGCATTCTTGACAACGTTACAGATTACCAGATTATTCCATTTCCAATATATAATGGAAGCGAAAGACTAGGTATTGCACAATTTGAAGAGGATTCTGAAGGTAATCTGGACATTTGGCTGAAGGAATTTGGATATCCTGCTTTAAAAGAATACAGATTAAATGAAAACGGAAGTTATGAAATTCTCAAGGAAATTTATTTCTCTCACTCACGGACAGATTGGGGAATTGTATACAATGGAAGTTATTACGGTCGATATGATCACGAACGCAAAATTTTCAAATACAACGTCCAGACTTCGGAATTCAAAATAGGAGATGAAATTAATGATGTTCCAGGACTTGATTACATGTATTTCTTCGTAGACAAGGACAGTATTTGGGTATTTAGCTTAACACGTTTTCGTATTGACGACAGTGACTATGCGCTTCAAATCGATCCAGAAAGTTTAGAAATTTTGTCTAAGCATAAAATTGTTACTGAAAATTGCATGCTGGAATATGTATTCGTTGCTTATGGCAAAGTTTATTGCTTGAGTGGTGTGGGAGGTCGAGAAATTTTTTTGTTGTGGGATATGACCAAAAAGGAAAAGCGAAACGTCACTATAAATATTAATAGAAAAGAACCACTTAATGCTTTTAATCTGTTCTACAGTTTTAAAGAACAATATCTTTATGTACTTCACGGATTCTCAGCATCCTTGAATTATGCACTTCACAGATACAAATTACACTTTAATTGTTCGTCCGAGGAGTGAAAAGTTGTATGGAGATGTGTGTTAATTTGTTCCAATTATATGAAATTTATATGAAATTGTTACAATGTGCTTTGAATTTTTCATTTTTAATATATTCTCTGTATGAAATTTCAATAAATATTTTCTTTTCTCGTTTGTTTGAATTGAAAGGCTTTGAATGGAGCCAAGTAAATGTCGTTCGCTTGGAATATACATTAAAGTAAAAAAAATACATAAAACGATGAACCTGAAAAATTAACCATTTTTATTTTGCTGAAAAGTTTCTAAAACAAAATAATTTTATGGTACTTGACACGGTTTAATTAATTAACTTTTTCACGTCTAAATAAGCCTAACGGCTGTGAAACCTCCAATTGAGGTACCCAGAGAGGAAACTTCAGAGAGGTATTAAGAAAGTCTGACACGACATGTCAGTACGTTTGCAGAATCTTTGTCATCGATCACTAAGACTAGGTTATATGAAATTAAACATCAATCTTTCTTAGGATTCTTACGTTTACTCTTGCTAAGTATAAAGTAGAAATAATTAAATTAAAATTGTAATTTAAACAGAAAGTATGATTAGGAAAAGGAAAATGTTTATATACATTAAAATCAAATTTTTGTTTAACCTGTTTTCTAAATTGAAGAGTAATAGCGGATTTTTCAAATTAAAATGCCCTATAAATATTTGTGAGGTCAAAATTGTCATACTTTTTTGCCTTATGTTGTACACTTGTTTAGTAATTGAAATTATTTACTCAAACAATTATCAGTAGTGAAATAAATTAACAAATTAAAATTAATTACTGTACTTCTCATAACTAAGTTATAAATAATATAAAACACATTTTTATTTAAAGAAGAAAACTGATAGTGATGAGTGTAAATGCTTTCCTTTACTGATTTTCGATAATTTTTTTATTGTTTCATTTGTTATTTACAAGTTTTCCCGTTTATCTTCTAAAATATATTTTCCAGATTGTCTTGAAGATAATAATAAGTATAAAATGATAACGCGTAAGTCAAATTTAATTCGTTCCAATAAGGAATTGGGGTTTGAAAATAATTTTTGTGTCCACCAATGGATTAAACCATTGAACAGAGGTAGTTGGTTTGGTTTCGTGCCTCGCCAAGGGAGAGTTTACACAAATTACACCTTTGAAAGTTTGCAAGCAATCTCAGAGTAAGTTACATTTTTTATAATAATTACACGAGAAAATTGTATTATTTTTACAACATTAAAGACTAAATACAAATAAAAATTTCATGTCTTCACACATCCTACACAATCACAGAAACTAGATTAATATAAGAAAAGTCCATGATTCCATTCAGACTTCCCTGCTTATGAACATGTAAACTAATTAAAAGTCTCTCTGGCACTCTGCTCATGTTAATTGTGTTTCCTTGATTATAAAACGTGTGAAGACATCAAATGTTTATTTGTATTTAGTCACCTATTTTTTATAATTTTCTAGAAACTTTTAACGATCTACGACGAAATAAATTTTAAACTTTTAATATTGCTACAGTTTATTTTAAATACTGTAATTATATCGTGACAATCGTATTTCCATTACATTTAGACTGTTGGACAGTAAAGTATCAATGTTCCCATCTTTAAAAACAGCAATGGATATTTTAGGAAGTAACAAGACGTTACGTATCATTGGTGTAAATAAATTTTGTCATATTCGTATTACTGATAACTTACGTACAGAAAATGTCTGTTCCGTACACGACTTTGCTTCCGAAATCGACGACTACAGACTGTTGTATACTTGTTGGAGAAAGTTCGATGCGAAGTACGATGAAATATTTTGTACAAACATGTACTTGAATTGCAAAGAAGCAACAATAAATACACTCGTATCTCGCCCAATTAATAAACGTTTAGACGAGAAGAGTATCTTCGATATCACTTACAAATGGGCCATGAACAAACTTAGTGAGAAGAAATCTCCAAGACAACTCATGGAATCTTTCTTACCAAAAATCAGATTTTTGACAATGGAAAATGAAATTTTTGAGTCCGATGATTTTTTACTCATCTTAACTGAAAAAGAACTGGAAGCAATAAGGTTGTTTTTCGTAACAGACAAATTGTCGTGTGTCCCTGACAATATTTCCAAGTCCACAAAAACCAGGACTTCTTATCAATATCCGTTATTATTCACTTTCTGCAATCGATACCCGTTTGTCATTAAAATACAAAGATTCGTGACTAAAAATATACAATTTATATCAGAAATATTTGTTTACGAAAAATCTTTTATGACAAGCATTCGTCTATCAATAACCCATAATAAACGATGTGTAATAGAAGCAAATTTATATTTTTCGATTAATGGCAGACATTTAAACGAAAGGAAATTTCTTACGTGCAAAACGAACGGATGTATCCAGTTAAGAGTTGGACTTTATATTGAAAAGTTTACAACGTTTCAACTTATCGTCAGATTTGCCAAAAAGGAAATAATTCCAAGAAAAAAAAAATAGAAATCAAACTATCTGCAGATCGTTTCACTCCAATTCATGACGTCATTGCGATTCCTCCTACGGAAGAAAATATATATTTAAAACCTGAACTTTTTCTAATATATTGTGACGTTAGATTGTTCTTTTGAGAAGTAGATTACTTTTTGAAAAAAAATTATTAGGAATATTTTCTCAAAAATTTTTCACATGTACTGTTTGATGTAATTGTATATGCAAATAAAATATAAATTCTAATTTAACGTTTAAGAATTGTATTTCATAAAAACCAGTATACAAGTGTATTCTACGAAATGGCAAATTTGTAGTACAGTTAAAATTGTCGCGTAAATTTCACATACCCAACAGGAAAGGTACTTTTCTAAAAGTTAAATGTGTATTATCATGTAGTCAATTAAAGTGTTGCATTTTATTTCGTATTTAGTAATAGATTTACCTTGGTTAGAAATTTTATTAAATTAATGACTGGGGTTTTGCATGTATTTCATCTAATTGTAGTATAATTATTTTATCTTCAGTTAAGGCATTGAACTTTTTCTTTAAGATATGTAATATGTTCAGTATTTGGATCAATATAATTAGTAATACAACTAGTAAAACTCCTGAAATACGATGTATGTGGTAATGTCAAAACATTACTATTTCTGATGAGCAGTATATCTCTATATAATTATATATCTATATGCAGTTGCAGAATGAAAAAATAACATGAAAGCCTATATTAAAATCTTAGAACTGTATCTTGGTTGTTTCGAACTAAAAAAATTTATCTTTTCACAGAGAAATGATACTTTTGTATTTGAAAATTCAAAAAAATTCTCACTCTCGGTACTTAAATAATTAATAATTTATTGTGTTAGTTCTTATTATTACTTCTATCAGTTTTTAAACTTTTTATAAAAATAAATACATAAATATTAGACCTTTTCTTCGGGAAAACAGTAGAAAGAATCCTAGAAATGACTATTTTATGGAATTACCCATAAAAAATTAAAATTTATAAATAAGAAAGTGCAACAGTTTGTTTTAATGATTCAGTTACTGGGTTATAAAAAACTAACTTCTAATTGTCTGAAGTATTTTTAGATTTGACAATTGCCATGAAATTCAATTAAGTAGATAATATGAACGTAAAGGATAGGTTTTTAGCAGAATATTTCAGCAAAATATTCTAGATTAAGGTAAATAGAAATCGAATTTCCATATTTTCTTTTAGTTGTGAATGAATTTAATGACATGTTTTACAGGAATTCCTTTATAGAATTTCTTAGGAAAGCCACTTCGAATGTCGCTTACCGAGTGACGATTCTTATTAACCACAAGGAGTTTTCCGGGTTTATGATGCTATTAAGATTTACAACCTATTAAACCACGCTCTGTTATTAGAAGGTGGCAGTTCAAATTGTACGAATACAAACTTTTTAAATTTGAAATTCTGGACATTTTAACGTTACCACTAAATGTTGGTATTGTCTTTTCTGTAAGAAAACAATTACATTTACATCGTATATCATGTAAGTTCTTTTTAATACTTTCACAAGCAAAGTTTTCAAAGTTGGTTTTTAGAATTGTTTTTCGTTTATATATCTAAACAAATAACATTGCTAAACCCGATATACATAAAGCTAGACACTAACCAATACCAAATTCCATCGGGCTAGACACGGCTATTGTTATTAAATAAATTATGCAACAAATTTGCCAGTAGAGAGAGGAGAGAGGCATTAAGTGCCATGACTTAATAACTTTAATAATTATAATTTTTAATCAATTAATTTAGATTTTGCTGAAATTCTCCCAAAGAATTATCTTCCAGTTCAGACCTTTCTATGTCATCAGGTCTTTCTCCTTGATTCTCGGGCTTCATCTCGCCCGTTTCAACATTAACTCTTCTTACTTCTGTTTTTATAACTGTTCCTCGGACGCTCTTCCGATCCGGTGTATGGGGCATTGACTGCACGATTCAAATATAATTCGGTTCTATAAATTCTAAAATTAAGATAGAGGACACAAAGGCATATTAATTAAATAATTTGGTTCTGTTTCCGATCTTTGCATTCGGCTACTTTCTTTCCTGGTGGGTGTCTGACATATAATTTTAATTGTTTTCTTGTCCGAGGTTCTATCTTCTGTCTCCTGGTTCTTGGATCTTCGTTTCCTTTGTCGCTGAGCAAGCTGGACACGGAGAACAAAAATGGATAACCTTGCTGTCAGGTAAAATTAATTGTCCTTTTGCGAAATCAACATCCAATTGTTCTTGCTCAAGGAGATTTTTTCCAATGACGCCTTCGCAGGGAGTTGTATCTCTGATCGGACGATCTTGCATGACATGGGAAACTTGTGTCTTTTAAATTTTAAGGTGAGAACCGCCATGGCTATGGTTTGAATTGATTCTCCGTTCAAACCTTTTATCTTCTTTCTGGATGCGAATTTAAGGAATGCTTTACCTTTTATCTGGTTGGCTACCTCATTTGACAACAACGTGACATTTAGATCAGGATTAATGACGAATTTTATAGACACATTATTAAAATATCCTAAAACTATAGGATATTTGGATGCGTGGACGTAACTTGAATCATGCCTTTCTAATGATCTTCATCTTCCAAGGAGCAATCCGGCGCTTCGCTGTGTATGCGCTGGATCCGCGCGGGGTG